AGAGAGAAAATAAGACAATACAAAGAGAAGAGAATTGTATTGAATAGTGTGATTTGTTTACAAGAGAGGTATCCTATTTATAGTCTAATTTCAGATGAATGTTTTCCTTTCTAACCAATGTGGAACTAACTAACATTTACATTGTATATACATTAACAGAAAGGAAAAACCCATCGTAGCAAACCGTAAGAGGGTCAGCCCAAAAGTGCATTTTCACCATTTACTTGAACAATATCTACTTGGTTGAACATTTAGAGTAAATATAATTATTTCTTAATGTGATTATCATTATAATATGTACTAATCGAATGCCAGAAACTTGTGCAGTGACACTATTAAGCCTCATTAATGTTACAAATGCAAGTTTTATTCTTATAGGAATGTATATTGTGATCACTACAAACTTTTGCAGCAGACTAATTTGAGAGCACCAGGCACGGCGATTATTTATATCATAAGCAGTAATAACTTTAAGATTTAAAATACGAGTGCTTAAAAGACAACCTTTTTCTGCATCTCAGAGATCGATTCCTGCAACTGTTGATTCTGCAAACAAAAACCATAGCTCCTTTAGAATGTCGCACAGAAATTAAATTAAATGTAGTGAAATGATTTTGGCAAAAGGTTATGCGGAAATATATACAATTACGTCGTACTTTTCTAGATCGAATGTTTTTAAGAGAAGTGTCGATCTGTTGCTCCAACATTTGAAGATCTTTCAGGCTCATGGAGTCAAGATTTTCTCCCATATAGTGGCTGAGAGGGCAAACAAATTATAAAGAGAAACCATAAACAGTTATCCTTGTGTTACTCATATCTCTTGAATGTACTGAATAAATTTTTACCTATGATTCCTCTGCAGAAGTTCAATTCTAGCTTTAAGTTTGGAGTATTCCAGAGTCCAGTTTGCCTGCACAATTCAAATATTTTTACAAATTTAGAAAATTTGGAGAATTTACAAATCATTTATGAAGATACGTAGTCAGAGGAATGGTATTGGATCCCACAAAATGTTAGTATAATAAATAAGTAGTAGATGTGAATATATCGTTAAAATTAATGTTTGATTTTGATTGAATTTATGAATAGATTATAAATTGGTAGCCAAATGGAGGCTTAAAATATTACCACCATGGGAATGGATTCTAATTAAG